TATTTCCTTCTTTTCTACCATAGTTTACTGTTTTTTTTGAAAAAAAAGTTTGTTGTGATTTTGGTACAAGAGATCGTCAGGAAGAGTTTATGATTATTATTATTATTATTAAATATTAATAATTTTATTTTTTAATAGTTTTTTTTTAAAAACTAATAGTGCAATAGTTAGAAGTAATATAATAGTTAAAATAAAATATAGTATGATAGTAAAAACAGATATCAGTTATACAATTTGTTATATATATATTATATATAAATTGTTTATATATAAAATTATAATAAAAAATATATGAAATTACTATAAATTTTGTAGCTTTGATGTTTTTTAATCTACATATTAATTTAAAATTAAATTTTGCGATTATATAGAGCAAAAAAAAAAGAAATTTTTTGCTCTAACTAGCAAGTTATAGCTTTGTTATCTTTGTATATTTTAAAAATATAACTTCACCAAAAATAAAATTTTACTGATTTTAAAGTAATAAATATATACTCTAAACAACTTTATTTAGAAGATAAAAGTAGATTACCTTGATAGAAAAACAAATTAGCTATTTGGAGTAAAGTTAATAAAAAAGAGACAAATTTTTTCTAAGTAAAAGTTTTCTTGACTTTAAGCTTAAATATCTTAGTACAGTCAGACCCCCTAAGTGCATATTCTCTAAGTGCATGGTATATGAAAATCTCTTCTAATATGCATGCCTCTGCTTGGTTCCAACTCATATAAAAATTATAAAATTTAAGTGCACACCTCCTCTAAGTATACATTTTGCATTTTTTTCACTATAATCCTGAGGGGAATGCACTTAGGGGGGTGCGACTGTATTTATCTTATTAAATTTTATAATTTTTTTTTATTTTAATTTTATAATTTCAAAATTAAAATAAAATAAATTTAGCAAATTTAATTAATTAGTTGTAGTTAGTAGAATCATTTCTGCAATTTTTTCTTTGCCTTTTTTCTTTAAAGATGAATCTAAAAGAGATTGCAAAAATATTAATAGCATTTTGTAATGAAATATACATATATGAATTTCTGAAAAATATTTTAATAAAAAACAAGCATATTTTTTTGTTAAGTTAGTAATATCTCATACAGAATACTCATATGCTGCCCACTTAGAAGTATATGCAAAATTTTCTTTAAATTCATTGCTATCAAGACACAATTGATTGAAATAACAACCTCAATTAATAATTTGCTGTGCTTTAGTATACTTTTGCATATTTCTATATAGAAAACTATAAAAAATTTCTATAGTTGAATCAGAAAACTTGGGAAGTTGGGCCTTAATAGCTTCAAGAATTGAATGGTTAATCAATTCTCAATAGAAAATATTTGGAAAAAACATTAATAGAGCTTTTGTATAGTTTTTGTGATTAAACCTAAAAAATACTATCTAAACGTGAAAGCAAGATAAGTATTAAAATCTCCAGATCTAAAAAACACAGCATAAATATTTAAAACAAGATGAACAGTATTATCAAAGAGATTCTTAAGTGCAAGATATTCAGCATCTTTACATAAAAATCTAAATTTTTCTTTAATGATAGTTGAAATTTCCTGCCAAGCACTATGTGAAACCTCTAAAAGGAGATTAATACACCATGGCTTGGAATTTTGTGCAAGAGGTTTGTTTTCTCCAAAAATAAATTTATATATCACTAAAAAAAAAGGTTGATACTGAAGAAATATTAATTCTCGACTATTTAATAAAATATGAAGAGGATCTATAATAGGAAGAAAAGATAAAACTGTATTAATAATATTCAATGACTTATGTTAAAGCAAATAATGTGAGATAGCAGTTCTTATATAAATTTGTCTAGGCCAATTGGCAATGATAGGAATAATATGCCCATTTTTGACATATTGCTGTATTGATGAAATATTTATAATGGTGTTAATTGCCTTAATATACTCTTTGATAGTATGAAAATTGTTTTTTGTAAATCTACAAGAACAACATCTTTTATTAAACAAAGATAATATTTCTCTTTTAGCTGAGTATTATAATTATGCATGTTTAACTCATCTAATTTTTGTTTATCACCAACCATACAAAATCCCAATGTTGGTTATGCAAAAGACCATAGAGCATTATAAATTTATTTTCTATATTCACTTTAATTAATTTAGTATTAACCAACTTGGAATTATGAACGTTTGCTTGTGAAATAGCTCTTTGTGTGAGAATTGGATTTATCAAAATTGTTGCCAAGTGTGTAGCAGTAGACATGGTAGTTGTGTCTGGCACCCATTCTGTATGAATACTATAATAATCATCAATATTTAATACCATAGTCTCTTCTATATATTCAGCAAGCACAGAATTGACAATTCTTGCATGCTCTTTAGATGCTTTAGTCTTAACTGTGTGACTAAATGAGATTTAATAGTTATATCTAAATCTGCAAGAGTATCTATAATAGTGTTAGAAACACCACCTGAATCTAAATATACTGATAAATCTCTCTTGACATTATTCAAAACTTGTTTCTAATTCCACACAAAAAATAACACAAACAAAAGTTGATTTTTTGCCCATGCTTGTAATTCTTTGTTTTTTGACTATGGATTACACAAGAGATATAATTCTTCAAAAAAATTCTTTAATCATATATCTTTCTCTTTCATAACTAACCAGAATTCATCAAATGAATATAAAGTTGGGGGTTTTTTTTTCTTGATTATACAAAACTTTTGTTATTGCCTCTATCACTTTAGAAAAAAACAAAAAGTTAGTACACTCAAATTCATTAATATTCACAGTTTCATTAGTATTGGTAGTTTTAGATCTTTCAACACTAGCTTGAGCATGTTGCTAGAATGTAGCCGAACTTCTTGTTACAATTCCATTGTAACAGTTTAAACAAATAGTATCTCCTAATTGAACATAGATCGGTAAAGTATTGTTAGTTTGAGCCTTAGACATAACATGGTCAGTTACTGTTTTCCAGTTGGATGATTTTCTATTGCAGATTGCGATTACACATGGCCCCGTAGTAGATATTTTTGGCTCTAAGTAAAGTTACTCAGTTCTAAGATCTTTTTGAGATTCTTTTGCACACTGAATATTGACGCTCTTATGAAGCTAATAGTAAAAAAAAATTGTATTTTTTTTTAGTGAAACGTTACGTTATTAAAAAGTACTTTAAACTGTATAAATAAGTTACCCAGACAATTGATCTGCATCAGCCAATCAGACGAATGTCCTACTATGATATGTTTGTTATCTATAACCCGTTTAACCCGGGCTGGGCCGATTTTTGACCCTAACAGTAAGTCTCAATTACTTTTTAATAAAAGCGGTCAAATTTGAATGTTACATAAAAAGCAAGCAATATGATTGGTAATATTGGTATAAAATTATTATTATTTTTTAAATAGCTGCCAAATTTTTATTTTATATAAACTTTTACATTATTACAGTTATTTAAGAACTTTTTTTTTTTTAAAAAAAAAAAAATCTTTTGGCTAAAAAAAATTTTTTATTAAAATTAAATTAATCACTAGAAAGTTTTATTTAAAAAAGCCAATTTAAATTGTCGGGTTATACTGTCCCATCCTATATCTTATAAATTCATTTTGATTATACAAAGAGTTAAACATCTCTACCATTTATACTCTTTAATTATTAATTCTAACCCTAAACTCTAACTCTCACTTTATTTAAAAACAAACCATTCTAAAAACTTTTTACTGTCTTCTCTCCGAACTCATCAATTCCTCCCAATTCATCTCTTTTTCTTCTTCTTCACTCGAATCCTCTATATTATACATCTCTCTTAACCTTTGAACTGTATCTATCGATCTGTTTTTGATGATTTTGCTACCAAAAATGTTCGTTTCGATTAGACGATTCTAACGAGTCCAAAATCTAACTCATTTCTCCCACCCTATAGGTGCATCACCCTGACAAAAACCTTATCGATCTCGGGATCCAGTGATTAGAATTTGATAGTTTTGGGCTCGTTAGAATCGTCTAACATTTTGGTAGCAAAATCATCAAAAACAGATCGATAGATAAAAAGTTAATCAAAATTAAAAAATGACAAATTATATCTATTTTAGATGATTTCACAAATCAGCCGATATGTTAGCACATATACTGTATGTGAGCAATTTGTAAAAGGCAGTATGACAAATCAATTATATTTGAACGCAAAATTGTTGTTTAATTACATGTTTTTGTAACAACTTGTACAGGTATAAAAAAATACAACGAAAAAAAGATTTTATATGCATAAAAAAAGATAAAGAAAAAGCATCATTGAAATAAACTAAGCAAAAAACCTATCCATCTAACAATGGATTTCAAGAATATATGATAAAATTGATTATGTAATAGAAATCCGACCTATCGATCCTTGTTTTCCACGAGGAATCTAAAAAACATGAGAAAAAAAAGTAAGTTAAGTTTTTATACTAGGACCAAAAAAAAATTCGAGTATATAAACCTTTATTTCGAGCAATCCATTCTCATATTTTGCGTCGATGTCCTTTTTTTCGCCGGAAAGATCTCGAGGCAAATAAATGTGTTTCCGAAAACGACCTAGGTTACGTTCACGAACACGAAATGTTGCAGTTTCATAAGCGGTAGCACGCTTAGATTCGCCTTGGACGATAAGTTCACGATCACGTAGATCGATTGAAATATCTTCCTTAGGAACTCCCTGAAATAATAAAATGAAATTTGAATAAATTAGTGTTAAGACTTTTGTTTTTTAAAAAAAAATAAAACGACATTTACAGGCAAATCACAATGAATTATAAAATAATCGTTTGTCTCAAAAACGTCGGTAGCAGGTCTACAAGTATAAAAATAATTTATAATATAATAACATTTAATCAACGAAAAATAAATATATATAAAAAAATTATAAACAAAAACTTACCTCCAAACAACGTCACCTTCCTTTTCTGTCATTACACGCGATTCAACATGACGCGGTATGCGATCTTGAATAGGTACACGAAGTCGTGCTCCCCTGTCGGTCGTTCCAAGATCACGATTTCCCCAGCGATCATTCCAACGATCGGTAGTATTAATAGGCCAATTATTCCAATCGTTCCAAGTAGTAGTATAGGGATAATTCAATTCAAGAGTTTGATCGTAAAATGGATCATAAAGTGGATCATGGTCACGAAAGAAAGACATGATGTTGAAATGTTTAATTATGAGTTTGTTTAAGGTATGTCCTTTTTATATTAGAAAAATATCTAGATGGTTTACAACTTAAAGCTGCATCATAATTAAGTCATTTAAAAATTGGTCTTCTTTTAACATAATTATTTTGTAATGAATAATATTAATTATCCAATATCTTACTATGATCGGACTGCCAAATAACTTTGGTTATTTGGCAGTGTGAGTCTATTTTTGCCAAATAACCAAGTTATTTGGCAGTCCGATTATTTATCTGACTTACAGCCAGATAATGGAGTTATTTTTCAAATAACTATATAATATTTAATAGACTTACGATATTTCATTCTAAGTTATTCCTTTACGGTATTGCTTGCATTCTTATTTATTATTATTATACAGTTGCAGTTTAATATGAAATTTATCTTTAACTATGTCGTATTGACGATTTACTCTCAACGTTAACATATCAGATATGAAAGAATTACAATTGATGATATATTTAAGATCAAAACTAATATTAACATTCTAGCTGCCTGGGAATTTTATTCTGCCAAATGAGTTCATTATGCATACTTTTTTTTTACACCGAATATTCAGTAAATAGAATTCGCAAAATATATTCATGCTTTTGTGAGTTACTGTGCACGTCGAAAAAAATGTCAATATGTGGATAATGAAATCAGAAATTCAGGGGTCTCAATTTAAATATACTGTATAAGCTCTACTTATACTCTTTTCCTAATAATTCTAACTCTAAACCCTAACTTAACTGTAAAAAAAAAACCTAACAAAAAAAGGCCCAAAAAAATTTTAAAAATCGGACATAAAAATAAGTTAAATTTCATTATGATTATGATATTCATTACCCAAAATTCACGGATAGTTAAGCAGATCATGAATATTCGATGAATATTTGCTTAGCGTTAGAATATAGCCAGAACATATGCGAGTATCCATGTAAATCTGAAAATAATTAAAAAATTCTATATAATCTCACCTATATTAGTATTATAAATATTTATTGAATAGCTATAATCTCAGTGTATGTTTAGGATTGATTCAAGTTTTGATTGTAAAGTGGATTTATTGGATTTATCATGAATTACAGTACGATATTTTATCAGAACCCGAATAATACATATAGAGGTTATATAGAAATTTTGGATAAAAAAGTTACTATTTTTACTAAAATGTTATATTTGAAAAGCGGTTATTTGCCAAAAGCTTGTATTTAAAAGCTTTTAATGTTGTGTTATTTAAAATGGATAAAATTAATAAATTTTAGATAGGGTATATTTTAAATTTGGATAACAAAATATAAAAAAAAAAAAGAAGGGAGAAAACAAATTTTTTTTGAAAGAAAAATTTTTTTTTGAAAAAAGAAAAAAATATTTGTTATATATATTTGTTAAACGGGTAAAATTACTTAAATATTAAAGTTTATATATAAAATAAGGTTAATTAGCTCTAATAAAAAGTGGATAAAATTTACAAAAGGTTTATATTAAAGCTAATATAACCTCTATATATATAATTTTTGGTCCTATTTTATCATTGGAGAGCAACCTTTTTAGTAATATATTTACAATAGAAAATCTGTCATCGGGCTTTCAATGTTCAGTTGGCTTTCTGTGCGATATCGCAACCTGCTACAAATAAAAAAATTTCACCGAAAAAACCATAGCTTAAGAATAAAATTATTGAGCCTAAGAAAAAGAAATCAAAAATTAATTATTATTAATCGTTATTAAATCGAACAACAAAATCAAGATCACAAGATTTAAAAAAAGAATAGATTGCCCTTGCTG